CTCATGACGCCCCCCCCCCTCGCTGCGCTCGGGGGGGCCGCCGATTCCCGATCCCGGCAGCCGCGTTGGAGAAGGACGCGCTGGAAGGCTTTGGCGACCTGAAGAGAGCTGCGGGCCGGGCGGCAGAAAACGCACGGGGCCCCCGCCTCCGATGGGCGAGTGCCTGGCCGGGGTTCTCTCTTCCGCCATCTCCCCTCGACGCTATCAAAACGCTGCGAGGGTCAGGTCAGAGCTGCCTTTCGTGCCTCTCCCTTACCTGTTCTTATTTCCCCGTCTCCTCCTTCTCGTCCTGCAGATGACGGCCTTCTCTCCACCAAGGGAGCGAGCCCCTAAAAGGTTACGGCCAACGCGGACCAGGGGATGAGAGGCGCCCCGTGCTTCGGCCCCCCGAACAGTGAGGCAGGCAGCTACCAGATGACGCGACCCTCTCGAGCCTTCGGAAGAGCATGTCACACGTTACGGCCCTCGCAAATCTGGACTGAGAAATGCTTACCAGCCTCGAACTTATCCCTATCCCTAAGATTGACACGCCAAAAGGCGATGATAATCTTAGGGATTCGCCATCAAAAAATAAGGGAATCCTTAAGATTGGCATCGTGATGAGGAGATGCCCAGCATAGGGATAGGGATATGTTCCAGGCTGGTAAAATGCTGCGTCCCACATGTTCGTCGACGAGCCTCGGAAGGGTAACCACCCAAGCACGGCGGCGGAAGCTGCCGTGAGCCTCTGGAGGAATGCGCCCTGTCTGGGGACGGAAGTGCTGGGGCAAGCCACCGGGGGGTGGGGGGGCAGAGGAGGTAAGCTGCTTTCCCACACGTCCTGCCACGGCGCGCTCGTCATCTCCGAGGCGCGTGGGGCCGCAAGAGGGCCACGCCCTGGAGAAAGAGGACCTGTTCTTCGCTCCTGGCCGAGACACCCTCCACCCAGGGGCAGTGTTTCGATCGGAGCCTGGCAGCGGCGACGAGGCGGACCTCGAGAGAAGCCAGCGCGTGAAGTCTGGACCCTTGAGGCAGCCCCCGAACCTGCGGCAGATAAACTGCGGCGGCTCGTCGCGCGACACATTCGCGTGCACGAACGGGTGGCTGTCCTCCCCCACGGACTGGGGCATGGCCTTGCCTTGGGGCGGCTCATGCGTCGAGGGGCAGCCGTAGGCGAACAGGAACGCGTCGTCTGGGCGGTCCGGTGGGCACTCCCTCGCCGAGAGGGCCGCCGCAAACCGCTTCGAGTCGTTCCTCTTTGAGGGCGTCGATGGCTCGCGGGATCCCGGGTCCTCCACAATGAGGGCGCCGACACAGAGGGGCACGAACGAGGAATGAGGCATCAAGGCGATGAAAAAAACGATTCACAACGCAAGGGAAGACCTGATCCCACATCGAGATTCAAAGGAGCGCTTGGGCCCCCCACATCATGTGGGCGCCTCGAACCTATAATCAAAACCAGTGTCCCCAAACCGTGTTTGTTGAGCCACGGTGGCTCCTCAGAGTGCTCGCGCGTCCTCCTACTCCCGATCCGCCTGCGCCTTCGGCGTCGTCGTCGAGCTTCTCGTCATCGTCGTCGTCCTCCTCATCCTCCTCCGCATCCACATCGTTATCCTTCTCGCCCTAGCCATCCTCCTTCCACTACACCTCCTCGTCATCCCCTCTCCTCTCTTCCTCCCGCTGCAGGCTTGGCTCGAGCGGTTTGCAAACCGGTTCCGCGCCGATCCCCGCCGCGACGCCCGCACGGGCCGCCATCCGCCAGGCGCGACGCCTGCTTACTCTCCTCCCTCCTACCCCCAGCGGCCTCGTGACGAGCCCGCTCCCCATCGCAGAGCGCGCAAGCAGCGCGCAAACGCTCGCACACTTTTAAGAGTGCACAAAGCCGCGATGATGCTCTCTCACCACCACTCTTTCCAGGGCCTCCCGCAGCAAGGCGCTGTTCCTACGACCTTGCCCCCGCCTCGCGCGACGCCTCTCTCGCCGACGTCTGGGCTGCAGCAGCACGGCATGGCTACCTCCCCCACGCAGCGTATGGCTGCTCCTCCCTCCCCGTCCCTTTATGCCACGCGCCTGCCCACCGACTTTTTTCCTCCACCCCAGCAGCCAGTGCACCAGAAAGGCAGCGCCCCTCCCGAGTACTGGTATTGCCTGCAGTGCGGCCGTGCCAATACCACTTTGGACGTTTCATGCCCCACCTGCTTTCCGACTCGGGCGGCAGGTCCTCAGCATGCGACAGGCGGCCCCGCCAAAGGTCAGGTGCAGCACAAGCCCCTGCAGGGTGCGGGCCCTGGGCAGGGCCACAAGGGCCCACGCTCCTTTTCTGGAGGCGCGGGAGGGGTGCACACGGGCAAAGGCCCTGCGCCGTCAACTGCGCCATCTTTCGACCAGGTGGCTGCGTGGGCAGCGGAGTACGGCTTGCTCCCCGCACCCCCAGGAGACCACGCGGTCCAGCCAGAAGGGATCTACAACAAGGAGCGCAAGAAGCGCGAGAAGGACGAGGCTCGCAAGGCCCGCGAGTCCCAGCGCAGCGAGGGGGAGCAGCCCGCCTCGAAGGCTCCTGGCACCCCGCACGGCGCCAAGGACACGGGCATCATCGGGCAGTCTCCCCAGACCCAGCCTTCGCCTGTTGCGCCTCCTCCTGCTGGTGCGGCCACCCCCTCCACACTCTTCGGCCCAGCCTCCGTGCAGCAGTCTCCGTTCCTTACGGCTGAACAGGCCTCCTCCTCTCTCGGCGCGTTGGATCCTGCCACTGAGCTCTCAGTAGCAGAGCTCACCGCGCAATGCCCTACCCTCACCCCTGACGAGGCGCACTCTCATGGGGCCTGGCTCTACCCCCCGCTCGAGCCCGACCGCCTGTTGGAGCACCGCAAGGCCCTTGCCATGAGCAAGGATGCGCTGATCCTGCAGCTTATCGCCTCAATCCTCCTAGGACACTCCGATATGCGTATCACCGAGATCCGTAAGGAGATTTCGCTAGTTAACTTTCAGTTGGCCAATGCGAGGGATCCGCTGGCCAAGATTAGCGAGCAAGGGCACGTGGTGGCCTCTCTGCATGCCGATTGCGAGCAATTGGCAGCTAAGCAAGCACAGGCAGAGGAGCACGTGCGTAACCTCGCCCTGGTTCTTCAAACCGCGCAAGCGGACCTCAGCCAGGCATCTACATTATTAGCTTATTTCAAATCGCAGGCGCCGCCAGCCGCCGCCATCTCTGACTCGCTCATGATGGGGGAGGCGGCGGACGAGCCAGGTGCAGCACAGCGCACTGCGGCACTCTCTGCATCGCACGCTGGCGAAGATCGAGCTGGCCCACCAGACCTAGGAACGGCCACGCCCCTCACTGCCGCGCCGCCCTCCCCTCCGCTCCTTCAATGCCCCGCGCCCCTCCCAGGCATCCAAGGGTTGGAACAGCCTTACATCACTTCGCTCTCCGCGGCCACGCAGAGCAACAACGCCGAGGCCATGGCCAGGGAGGTAGCCACCATTAAGGCAAGTTTTGACCCCCAGGCCCAGGCCATGCGCAACTCAGTAGACACCCTAGTCTCACAGATCAAGGCCGGGCAACTAGTGCCAGCCGCCGTCTCTAGCCACGGTGCCACTGCCCGGGGGGGGGCCACCGCGCCGTCAGGTTCTGACCAAGCCCGCGCTCCCGCCAGCGCAGGCCCGCTATTCCGCCTAGGTTTCGTGCCCAAACCTGGGCCAGCGCCAGTGCCCGAGACGCCGACAGGGGAGGCGACCACCACTGCGCCCACGTTTCAAGGCGGCTCTTTCTTGAAGGCGACGCACACCCGAGGGCAAGGGAACTCTACCTTGCCATCAGGAGTGCCACCAGGAAAGGCCGCCACCAACCAGCCGAGCCCAGCAGCAGCTTCCGTAAGGGAGCCCAGCGAACTGCCCCCGCCTACCCGTTCTGCCAGCCAGCTCGGATGGGACCTCTCTGATGAGAAGGGGGAGCCAGTCACCATGGCATCCTCCCGCCGCAGCGCAAGCGCTCAGGCCAGGGGCAGATCCGCGCGCGCGGGCCAGGCCGACGAGCGCGCGCTCTCAGGCATCAGCGAGGAAGATTTTGAAGGCAAGCAGGCGGCACGCAGTAAGAGCCCTCGAGGCTCCCGCCGCCCCAGGCGAGCGCCAGCTGGGGCTGAGCCGACGTCCCGTGCAGGGGCCCCCGCCGCGGCTGCCCCCCGCAGTCCCGCTGATGCAATGGCAGACGCAGAGGCAGCGGACCTTCGCGCCGAAGCCGAGGCCCACGCGGCACAGGCTGCTCAGGACGACTTGGCCCAGGCAGCGCGCGATGGCACGGTTTTTCAGGTCGCTCCCCCGGACACTGCCCACGGGTGAACCTGGGCGGACGACAAGGCCTACGCCGCAGCCCGCTTCCGCCCATGGGGTGGATGCTACCGGTGCTCACGGCTGCCTCCATCCAGCTGTCCAGGGATTTTGATGCCATATTTCCTGCCCTCCATTCCTCCTCCATCCCCATCTGGCACAACTTCGCCTTGGACACACCCTACGCGGCTTTTGACTCCGCGGATATATACACCGACGCCAGCGGAGGGGCCTCCAAAGGAGATCTCGCTGGCCCGCCAGCGTGGGCTTTTCTGGTCTTTGCCTGGCTCAACGGCACTCGTCACTTTCTCGGCTTCCTCGGGTGCCCCACCCCGGAGCTGACAGGAGCAACGAGAGTCTCCGCCAAGGCAGAATTCGATGCCGCCACTTGGGCGGCGCTGTGGGCCTTACAGTCCCCGCTTCCTCCCGCCGTTCCTCTCACCTTTCACTCAGATAACATGGACGTGGTCTCTACCGCCCAAGGCGGTACCGTGGCCGAGCCGCTCATAGAGCACAGAAGCCGCCTCGACAGTCTGTGCAAGGTCCTGGGTCTGAAACGTCGCTTTACATGGCAGCACGTGCACGGTCACCAGGCAGACCCACTCAACGAAATGGTTGACACGGTCGCCAGACTTCACTCCCTCGCAGTGCTCCCTCCTCCCGCGCTCCCGCCCCTCATGAGCTTTCTCCAGGACAATGCGCACATCCTGGAATGGCTTTGGCTTGAGTGCCTCCCCCAGCAACAGCGCGCCCTTTACCCGCCTAACCATCAGGTTAGCCTCAATCCTCCTCTCCCCCCGCGCACCTCGCTCGCAGATGTTCTTCCAGGTCTCTCCGAGGAGGCAGCCCCGATCGCAGACGCCACCGCATCCTGCTGCCTCAGGCTAGCCTCAGCCAACATTCTTTCTCTCACGCCTGCATCGCGCATCTCCCAAAGAGCCAGGCTTACAGGTGCGGCCGTCAAAGGACGCCTCCATCAGTTGGCCGCCGCCTTTCAACGCAATGGGCTCGATGTTATCGGTATGCAAGAAACGCGAGTCACTGCCGCGGGCTCTGGCAAACGCCAAGTCCCCCCGTACATAATTTTTCTGTCCGAGTCGCAAGCTGGTACTCATGCTTGCGGCTGCGCGCTCTGGGTCAACCTTAGCACGCCCGTATTTCCTAATGCCAAAGGCATCCCCACCTTTCCTATTAAGTCGCATAATGCGCGCATTGTACACCAAGACCCGCGCATCATCGCGGCCGTCATAAGTCAGAACGGCCTACGTTTCAGCATCCTAGTGGCGCACGCTCACCATTCCGGGCGTCCTCTCCACGAGCAGGCCGCATGGTGGCAGCACCTTCGATATGTGCATGACCAAATTTTGCCTCAGCCCACTCCCACTCTTGTCCTCATGGACTCCAATGCTGCAGTGGGCACGCAAACCTCAGCGGCCATCGGCCCCCAGCATGCGGAGCAGGTCAACACGGCAGGCTCCTTTTTCCATCGCTTCCTACTCGCCTCAAATCTCTGGCTGCCGGCCACCTTTGTGCCCCACCCTATGGGAGCGGGCACATGGATCTCGCCAGCACGCGACCCCGCCTTCAAACAACACTGGAAGCGCAGGGATTACATAGCTATCCCGATAGGCACCTCCGCCACTGAATGCGAGGTCAAGTACTCCCTTACCTTGGCACTCGCAGTACTAGACCACGCTGCTCCGTGCCTATCATGCCGCTTCAAGCTTCAGCTGCGCCCAACCGAGGATCAGGGATGCCAGGTCACGCGTATCCCGCACGACCCTGCAGCGTACCTCGACCCGACGGCCAGGCAGCTTTTTGAAGACACATTTAAGCCTCCTCCCGAACTTCTAACCTTTGATTTGCATGCCTCTGACCACGCGCTCATCCTAGACCGGGAGGCGCGCAACGCTATGCTACAGGCCTTTCCCCAACCCCGCACGGCAACAGGCCGCGCACCTACCAACTC